TGGGGTGGGGAAGGGAGGGACATTCACAGTACCTGTACCTTGCTCTTATGCCTTCTGCTTCCATTTCAGCCTCAGTTTCATTATTGTCCTCACTGTCCATTCCTGTGGCAGTGCGGAGGTCTGCACCGAGGCTCTCCTGCAACAATGATGCACCCTGATATTCTGGGTAGAGCTGTGACTTAATAGTGGCGGGCGCCAGGTTCATTTTGGGTGGAGCTGGAGTCCAGTAGAGTCTATACACGTAATTCACACAGTTATCAAACCTTAACACCCTAATCTCCATTTTCACATTCTCCGTACTGTTCTCTGTACATTTCCTGAGATTCTATCAGGGAAAATTTGTTTAACAGTCTTCTTTAAAATGTAGTTAGTGATCTTTTCTCTTTCATCTCGTGACCTAAATGACTTGTGTGTTTTGGGGTGATATTGTAAGGAGAAATCAGTTCAGCGATTCACACTTGGGGTTCAAGGGGTAAAGAGGCAATACTCTCTGAAATAGCTCTTTAGCTGTGATGAACTTTTGCAAAACTCATTAGAAGCCCCATGAGTTGCGGGATAAAAGTAAACTACAGGTACCTTTTCAGGTGAAGGAAAAAGTTTCATTAAACTCGCTAAATACTGAATTATTTTACACCAGTATTGGGAGAAAAATGCCCAAATTTCAAAATCAATCTGAAACATTTGAAATTCACTGAAACTTGCATGTAAATTTAAGCACAAACATTTTCAAGGAAAGAAAACAATTTGCTCAAATTTTTTAACAATAAGATGACTTGTTAGAGGTCCTCTGATTGACGAAGGAAAATGAAAAAAATATCTGTTAACCCTCAACTTAACAAAAGTGGGTTTTTGAAATGGAGCTGAAATTCTCCAAAACTCAAACTACTGTATAGTGTGTTAAAGTAAGGTTACCATGCAAATTACCTTGAGCTATCATCTTTCAGTTCCATTTTAACACCAACCACATCAAGTGATTGTTCTTGTTCAGCTGAGAACTATAAACAAAAAAAGAGAGCAAACTATGCTGAATTTGACATTTTTTAAATTTTTTAAAGCAGAAAACATAAGAACCAATTAAAATGTGTGAATAATTCAGCTTAACATATCAAACAGAATGAAAGACATTGAACGAGGAGCTTTTGCCTTCTGGAATAGTTGAACCACATACATGTACTACACTGTCTTGTAACTTTTTCTAAAGGAACAAGTCTTCTCTGCTCTGTCCTTTGATTGTTTTAATTGTAAACCCAGCAAAACTCAAGCCCTCATTAGCTGCTGTCTATGCAACAGTGTAACCTCTTCAATCACAAGGATTCCAGGGTGAGTGGCCACGACTCACCAAATTATCTGAAGCTTTCTTCAACCTTTTAAAAGTCTCTTCATCATCCCCAGCCACCAAAGCTTCATCCAAAATCCTTTGGGCCACCAATGACCACCGTCGCTGCTGCCCAGCTTTTCTTGGTCTCTCTGGCTCAACTGGCTCTTTGTCATCTCCAGTTTCCTCTTCCACAGTTTCATCTAACCCAGTTTCTTCCTGTAAAACCTAGTTTGACAATAATCTGTACATTAATAGTAATAATATGTATCCTTAGGTTATTAACTCCTCATACCAGATAATGTTTTCAACTCAGGGTTTTACTATAAGCAGGTTATGGCAGTCCACTGCTCCCCATAAGACCTCTAACCACCAACTGTTTAGCCTATGAGCAGGCTCTAGCGCTTGGGTTTTGCTGAGTTGTACTGCCACAACCTCAAGCCAAGATTCCCCTGTACAGTTCTCACGCTTGGTAAGTAAGAAGTTAATCTTACCTCTACCGTCTTCTCTGTCAGTTTACGATATTTACTGCGAGTGTGTTCATCTCTTGTCAATTTACATATATGAGGAGGAAGCTCCACTCTGGATGGCATGGTACAGAAATGATGGATATTGTGGGTCTTGACAGGCTAAAGAATACAACAGTCAACAAATTATAATCAACAATGCATGATGATCACAACTTGAATTTTTCTTTTTGTGGCAAATGGTCCATTAAGTCATTTATAGTGACTGGGTATAGAAAGTACAGCTGAACTAAAAGAAAACACCACGTCAATCATGAAATGAGCACAGAGGTAACTTTGAAAAGGCCCACAAACAATGAAAATTTCTAAACTGAGTTAATTTAAACAAAAGGTTGAGCACAAACAAGTTAAGGGTATGGATGGCAACTGTAAGACAATGATGCTGAATCATGTAAGGGTTGTCTGGGACAGACTGACATACCATCTCAAGTGAAAAGCAACACTCTGTTCTTGATTTTTTTTTTTTTTCCAGATGCATGGACAAAATTCATAATTAATCTATACTCTTCGAAAAACTCAGCCAAGTTTCAAAAGTGCACTTGGATGAATCAAAACGGATTCTTTTACTCCAAACCACATGCATCTGCTGTGAAAAACCTAATAGAGAAGATGATTAATGCACATATACATATGAACCTTGAGGTCATTCTCCTTTTCCCTCACTTCCCACGATTCCAAAAACACCACAGTCTTGTCTTGTTTGAGATCAATCCACTGTTTCTCTGAATCTGGAACAGTTGCCAGTGCAGAAGACTGTTTGGATACCATTTCAACCTGTTGGCCTTTAATACTAACAATGTCTTCTGGAACCACTTCAGATGGGAGTGATAGGCACTATGCAAAACACAAAACCGCATTCATTTAAAATGGTAAAACATTCAACCATTAAAGGGGTAGCATACGTGTAGGATTATCTAAAAAGTAAACTTGTTGTCTGTTCATGGATCAAAGCCCCATTTGTCCATGTAATAAACTTCTATGCTTCTAGGGAATCCCCCTACCAACTCCTCTTTTCTCATACCAGTGAGACACAACTGCTGGTACATGTAGATTCTCTCTCTTTTTTTTTTTTCTCTCCCTCTTTCTTTTTTACTTCATTCAAGAGAGGGGCCCACCAAAGTTAAGTCTTCAAGGTGGCCCAGCTTGTGGTCTGTAAACTTGTTATATAGTTAATACATATTTTTTTGATCACGAGAGCCTGGGATTACATCATAGCAATTACTGCAGATTTCATTCTTCTACCATTCCCTCCTCTATGGCAAAGTCCATTGTACAAGTGAAAAAAAAAAAAGGGAAAAAAGAAATGTGCAGTGTTCTTGGGAAAGACACTTTACTTAGACTCAGTGCACCCAGGGCCCATGCAGTTGTTCAAAGGCAAAATTAAAGGGTTAAATTTTTAATCCAGATTTCTAGATTTCTCTGTTCAAAAACCTTTATAAGGATAATTTTCCCAATTCTTTTAAGAGTTCAATCATCAAATTGTAGACAAATGGAATTAAGTTGAATTTCTTTTTAAAGCTTTCTGATCTGAAATCAAATTTCACACTAACCCTGGGTTATCTTAACCCAGCTTTGAACAACTCGGCCCAGCCGGTGTATAAATGGGTACCAGTGAATTTAATGCCAGGGGTAGCCCTGCGATGGACTAGCATTCCATCGGGGGGGGGGGGGTTAGAAATACTCTTAGTCACTTCATGCTATGGTAACCGGATTTAAGCATTGGCCCAATGGGCTACTTGGCTCATAAACAGGCTTTGCCTTCCTTTGACCATCTGTTTAAGTAATATGCTTGTCAGTTTGAGAATTGAAAGTCAAAGTTTAGCATGTTCAAGATTTCAGTGAAGACTTGGCAAGTATACCAAAATTACTATAGAGTATGCACAGTGATAAAATTAATAATTATATTTATCCTTAGAAGCTACATGGGTCACCTCCATGGCCTGTTCTGATGTCATAGATTTCTGACTGGCAAGTCCTTGTCGCCTCAAAAGTGTGAGAGATGGAGAGCCTAAAACAGCAAGAGGGGAAAGCTCACCATATTAACCATGTAAGTGAAAAACTCCAGCTAACTTCTACTTTCAACACACTACTGTGAAAACTTCAAAACTAGTTTCATCTATGACCTCGTCAATTGATAACAAACAAAAATCTAAATTTTTAGATTTTTGTTTGTTATCAACTGACGAGGTCGTAGACTAAACTGTATAGTTTTGAAGTTTTCGCAGTAGTGTGTTGAAAGTAGAAGTTAATTGGAGTTTTTCACTTACATGGTTAATATGGCGTTAAGTGAAACTTTCTTGGCTTCGATAAGTAGAATTTCCCAACGAAGGGGAAAGTTCATTCATTGGATACCATTGTGACACACACACCAAAAAGATATTCATACTATTGTTATTATAAAGCCCATTAGCTACACATATATACATCTTGGATTGTTACACACAAAATTATCTGTTTTAAAGACATTTTCATTCTTTTAAGTATGATCATGAGCACCTGATGATGGTTGTGGCCGCATTATTAATTTTGGTTAGCAAACCTTATTGAAATTTGCTTGCTAGCAAAAACTGTGTAAAGTTTACTGGACCACAGTAGTGTATAAACAAACACAGCTGTAAGAAACACAACTGAAGACAATTGATGGATATTTGGTGCACTTCAACCAACAGGTTTTAATTGCATGCAAATACAATGCCCGTTGAAATAAACAATGACCATTCCACAATGAAGAAAACAATCAGCTAGCTCATACATACTGTACTAATAGATTGTATAGCTACTGCAACAGTACCTAACACGTCTGTCTCAGTCACTTCACTCCTCCTTGTTTCTGTTTCTTTACCAGCAGTCTGCAGCAGCTCGGCCTCTAGCGGTTGACCTTTGGTCTCAGCAAGAGCACTCATCTCACTGTTCAATGTCACAGCTCTGTCCTTCTTTGGGCTTGAGCTTTCTTTCTGTGCAGCAGAGCCCCTGGCTTTGTCTGTTTCATCACTCTGCAACTTAGTTTTGGCCGTGGGAATAGGAATTTTTGGTGTTATGGGATTGGTAGATGTCAGCCGCTTTGGATCACGTGGAGACAAGCCCCGCAGAGCTCCCTGAATTGAGAAGTCAGCGCCTCCATGCTCAGCCAATGCTCGCAGTAACAGGCTTTCTCTGGATGGAGAAACTGCAGAAGCCAACTCCTGTAGCCTCTTGGCTTCATTTTCTGCTTCTTCAGTTGCTCTGATCAAGTTCAGTAAACCTACCTCAGGTTGACTGATTCTCCTAGTCAGCTCAAGAATCTCTGAATGGATCCTATTAATTGCTGAATCTTCCTCAGAGTCAACAGCCACTCTCCCACTGGCTAATGCTGGAGCTGAAATTGAGGTTTTTAAAACTTCAGAAGTGATAAAATGTTTTTCAGCTTTTCCATTCGGGTCCTGCTCATTATTTCTTTCAATGGTGATTTTTCCAAGTGGTTCACTATTTTCAACCAAATCAAAGGCAACATGCACAGTTCTAGCATCATCTTTTACATGAGCATCTTGATCATGTGTATCACCAGATGTATCTTCTGACCCTGGATGGACCTCCACCTCCTTTGGCTCGTCATCCTTGTCTGAATTGGCCTCAGTCACAAGAGCTGTCGAGTCAGCCTCACCCTCCTCTTTATCTACAGTGGGTGATCCTGGGTTCAAAATTTCCTTGTCCCTGGTTGGAAGTAAACACAATACACACAGATGTATCAGTTGGAGCAAAGGTGTACCTTACAGTACCGCTTGACTCGATATGTGATCCTCCTTACTCAAAGCCATTGGCAATCAAGGATCCAGATTCTAGGTTTGTGGATCGTGGATTGATCATGATTGATGACGAGTATCAAGATTTCGAGAATCGATGATCGAGACACTCAAAGAAATTTCGAGTACCTTAATCTGCAGTATGGAGATAAATATTGCATGCAAAACAATAGCAAAGGACAAAGTGCTTGACACACAGTTCTTCCTTAAACACACAGACAGCTCACAGAAATGCAAACATTTTCATATTGCACATGACTTGAGCTTTAACCAAGCCCTGTCTTTGAGTTGATGATACTGAATAAAGCATGTAAGCTACTTTCCAAATAAAACCCTGGTCCTCACAAGTAGGCTACAATTTTAGCAATTGCAGGAAAGAAGCCTGAGAAAATTTAGGCTTCAGTAGGATTCAAACTAGTGCCTACCAGATATTAGTTGGTTATACTACTAATGATTACGACACATTGGGAGCAAGGTTAATTTTAGTGGGTTCTTCTTGTTTAATTTTCTTCTTAATACTCCATTGAGAAGCATGACTTATTTTCTCTTATTTCTAAGTGTAAGTACACAATTTTAATCAATGTTCCTGGAATAGGACATCGACCCATCCTGTCCTACAGTACACCTTAAGTGGGACTGGCTGTACAGGTCAAATACAAAGTAACATTCAATCAATATTTTTAAATTGTCGAGTATTATAGTTACTGTAATAATGATGTAACAATAATAATGATAATAATAATCATAACAGTGATAATAATAAGTATTAATACTGGAAATCTTGAAAGACTATTAGCCAGCCCTAACAAGTTTCAACCTACTTGACAGAGGAAGCACCACTTCTCACTGATCCCTGGTGTGATGCCCTGGAGCTTGTCTGTTGTTTTTGGGGTGGGCGAGGTGCAAGTTGAACTGCCACTGTAGTGCTTTGAGAGCCTATTATTGCTGGTTTCTTGGTTTGAATGTTCATGGGTTGAGCCTGAGGGGATTTTGTGCAACTTCTGGGACTTCTGGGACTTCTGGATCGAGCTGATTGTGGTTGTTTTGTTGATTTCTACAAAAGATTAAGTCCACACTTGTAACATTTCTCCAGTTAGGGTACATGAAAATGATTACAAAAGGATATGGCTAGGTTCAAGTGTAATAGAAACATATACATAATTAATATGGATGTATTGGATTTACACACTGTACATGTATCTTCTTATTTTCACAAGCAAGCTAGATCAGTTCAAATGAGAAATTTAAAGTTACAATTATTGTTACAGTACCTACACATGTACATACATGTACATGTGGGTCTTGTTAACTTTCATGCAGCCTTTGTTCCAAGTCTGAAATTCTCACTAGGAGTGCACCTTTTTTAAAATTTAAAGGTTGCACTTAAAACAGTTTGTCCAGAGTTATAAAAGTCTCTGATTTATTCTTAAAGCATAGGGTCTTGGTAAAAATGACTACATGTAGCTTTTCAGTTGGAATTTATTATAATAAGCCTTTTGACTCTGTGTGGAAGCCTTTTAATGAATAGAACCTCTGAATTATTATTTTTTTGATTAAAACTATTCCAATAAAAAGGAGACATATTACTGGAATTGTTGAATCTGTCTCCCCCATTTTCATACGGAGGTCTTGATATTTTAGCAATTTGTCTCCAATATTTACTATTCCCCACTCCTAATTATTATAGTGAGCTCCAAATAAAACAACCTACAGCTGTACCATTGAGCCTTGGCCACAGAAACTGGGTTGTACTGTATTCTTAGGGAAGACACTGTACCCCACAAATCAGCAGCTTCTTTTCACCCAGGAACATGAAATACACTTCATTAATTGCTAGCTATCAAAATAATGTGTGACAATCCTGGTCCAGTTTAGATGCTACACTTAAATCACAGGTAAACTGGAATTTTAGTGAGGCTGACAAGCTACTGCAGTGGGATGGATGAGCACCTGGTTGAGCCCATGTAAAATTTGGGATTTAGATCAATCAAAGCCGAGTCAAAGCCAATCATACTCAGTTGAGCTGGGTGGGAAGAAAATCTAAATTGTTTCATATTTAATATACACTTTTAAACTAATCAACATACTGCACTCCCTTTATTCAAGATTGATCCTGTGAACTTTGGCTTGTGAATTGGGCCTAATTAACTCTAAACTCTCATGTATGATCTAGATAGAATTTCCCTTACAATGAGCAATGAGAATAAAAAGAAAGATAAAAATTAGGGGATTATTAGTTGATTCGCTACCAAATTCTCCCCAATAACGTGATCAAAATTGTACGGCAAACAGTTAAGAAAATTACTGATGAGGTCATGGGAGTAAAAGGGTTCAACTACACAGTTATACATGTGGTGTATAGTCAGACACATGCAGGTATTTCTCACATTACCTTCTCCCTTGGATTTATCCCTGCATTAGTCTCTTCTTGAAGTCCCCTTCCATACATTACAACATTCAAGTCGACTTTCGATCGGATAGAAACTATTCCAGTAGATCGAGAGATCAAATCTGAACTTCTCAATTCAGCACCAAACGAGTCCACTTCAGGGATAGCCTTTACATGTATATCCGAGTCCGGCGTTGCTCTCAGCTCCGGAGCTAAGTCAATAGAAGGACTTGGAGGAGGGACCTCACCATCTGAATCGTTGTTTTCTACACCTGTCGCTTTTCGCTTGCTTTTCGTGGGACGACCCCGTTTCGTTGGTTGGTGTTTCTTTGCCAAAACAGCTTTGGAACTGCTCTCAAGCAATTTGGACTTGTCATTACGATTCAAGCCTGCAAATTCATTCTTGGATTGATTTGTTAGCTTTTGAAGCTCTTGTTTCATACGAAGCTCTTCCCTCTTGAACGATTTTCCACCAAATGACATCTCTTTTCAATGTATCTTACTGATAGATATGACATGGCCTACTGAATACCTCGAGTCCGTCTTTGATTCCTCCATCTCACACTTTCACATTAAACAAAAAATCACCCTTCTGTAGTTTACAACTACCAATTCAGATTTCCATAAGAAGTAACCTCACAATTCGGCTTTAAATAAAGAACAACCATCGTATAGTAATTTATGACGGGAAAGAAAACACAGACGCCATCTTTGTTTAGATCTGTTGCCTTGGACCCAGTCCCTCACGCACCTAAAGGGATCGACAGAGCCACCCCAGGGGAGCGGGATAAGTTGGCGTTGGGGATGTGTTCCTGGATTTCTCGGAAATGTTGATATCGAAAGTAAACCTGTCCTATTTGAGTTCCCCCTTTTCTCAGAAAAAGCTGGAGGGAAGTCAAAGGTCAGCTCATTTCGATTGTGCAGGTATGCAAAGTTGCGTCACTGCCGAAGAATTTAACAAAAGACAAGCCACTAGCAATATTCATCAAGAAGATAAAGTGATAAACGGGTTAGTGGAAAAGGGAAGCTTCCTGCGAATGGCGGTAAGTTAATTCAAAATTCGATATCATCAGTAACATATTTCTAGAGAAATTATCTATTCTTTTAGGACTTAATTATGTACGTGTACATCAAATAGTTTTACGTTCTTCGAATTCAATTTCCCCACTATCACAAGCAGTTTTGCGCTACTGGTTGAAAGCCTAACATGATTTATTGTTAACCACATCCATCATTGTTAGTTATCCTGCCAGGATCACTAACTCAATTGATACTACAGAGCAGTACAACATTTTAAATTTATCATTATCATTATTGACAGAGGAAAGCACACCCACCGAAAATTTTCTTAGTAATCTAATTCCAATAGTGTAAATCTAAGATCTGCAACTTCATCAAATCTAAAGCGGTCTCAATAGACAACAGTTTTTCATTAACAATCACTATAACTATATATTTCCTCAAAAGAAATATTTTTATTACTGAAATGTGCAACATTCACAACAGGTTTGTCAAAAAATAAACAACGGTTTAAAGCTACGAAAACTCCAATGACAAATGACTAATATGTGTATTTTAAACTTTTTCCCGTCTCGGCTGCATAACTGGAAAAATTTCAGTTACTATGTATGGTGCTTGACTATGTAAAAACAGGATTGTAAAAACGTTTCAGTTCGATTTTAAATGTGTCACCGTTCAAAACGTAATTCTGAAGTAAGAAGTCCTTGACAAATATTTTTTTCAAGTCTGCATATATGTTAAAAATATGTTTCTCCGCGCTCAGTTTTCTGTGAGCAACGTATGACGTCAAATCGTCATACGACACAAGTTCTTCCAAAACAAAACAGTAGAACTCAAAAAGGGAACTTCAAGGTTTCTAACACCGATTTTATTTGATGTATAATAAACAGAGGTTATGTTTATGAGTCAAATGAATTATTCAAACACGCGCCTTAGGTTTTTCGGTAACTTAGCTTGGAAGTTTGCAAGAGCCATTACTTATTGGACTCCTGACATTTGTCATTTTGTTAAAAAAAAATGAATTTGTTGGTTTTCGTTTTGCTGCCACACCCTAGAAATTTTACTTTCAAGTCCGGATCGAAACCGGCCATAAAAGAAGAAACAAATCCTACATCAAGAATAACATTATTACATATTCACTGTTCAAATAACAATACTTAAGATAGACACGATTTTAGATGGAATGTCTAATGGACAAAATGAATAACCGACAAAATGAATAACCGACATACACTGGAAATTTGCTAATTTTCAAATTTATTTCCTTTAGCCAGAAAAAGACCAACTTCAAAAAATTTTCGACTGAAAATGTGTGACTTGTTTATATACCGCATTTTCGAAACCATTTGACTGTAGAAATCTCCATCCAACTCTCATACAATGCTCTGTAAACTTTTCCCCCTTCTTTAAAACTTCCCCTCCCTTCCCCCTCCCCCCAAAAAACACAAGCCTCAGATACTGATCAATGTATTTAAGGTGATGAGAATTTGGTTCTCTATCAAAGTGGGACCTCGGATATCAACAAAATAAAGGCTGATAGTTTCTAAAGAAACTGTTGGGGGCTGCTTCGCTCCGACGAAGGGCTAACGCTCGAAACGTCAGCTTTTGTAATCGTTACGGTGGCCAATTTACCATTTCAACTTTGTTGATACATCCAAATTATTTCGGATATCAACAGTCTCGTTCCGTATTTTTTAACCTAAGCTATCATTTCAAGGGGAAATAAGAATTCGATCTCTTGCTGAACCGCTCAACGTGGGCCAATGAGTGGCTAGCTCTCCTACACCACAGGTATTCTCATGATAAACAATCACCCCCTCTGCATCCTATGCATGAACGGTTTTGCACGGTCAGGCGGGTCTGTGTTATGGACCCATCAGTCAGTTAATGAGCCAGAGAAAGCCGTAATAGTTAGGCTAAAATACGGCGACGTATCCTTTACGAAGTCAAGGTAAGTTAGTGTAAAACTTTGATAGCCAAGGATCCACTGATTAAGAAATGAGGCTGCGATGATCGAAGCAACCGCTCCCGCCGCGCCTTCAACGGTTTGTTTGTCAAGATGGCTGATATCTCGTTGAGAATTCTGCAAAAAGGATAAAGGAAAAATAAGTTAGAGGTTTAAGTTTCTACGACTAAAGTTGCGAAAGTAAACAAAACAAGTCAACCTAAATGCAATTCATTAACACACTTTACGGACCATTGTTGAAAATATCCGGATTTCTCGCAAACAAAGGCTATTTCAACTTCATCTTTCTAAAATAAAAGAGCAAAGAGAAGCAAAGGATTTAGGCTTTCGTAAATCTCAGGGGAACAGTGATGAATGAGGAGGAAAGTTATCAAGTTAACCGATTCACACCGACTGAAAGAAATCCGTTGACTGCCCGCCAAAATTTAATCTACACTATGTTTGTCAAACGTAATTAGACTAAACGGGTATCACTTTTAGCATTCAAAACTTACACTTACACTTACACTATCACTATAACTACAAGTGACCAAAATATAACCTCAAGAAAGTCCACGAATACTTAAACATAAACCTTGATGCATCGTTGTTAGTAGGCATTTCGAATTTCTGTATAAGCGAGAGCGTTTTGAGAACATTCCGAGCTAAACAGTTATTCAGTATGGCGTTTTCCCAAAGACCATCGCCATTACTGTATTTTTGTAACTAAAATTACGATGAAATGAATTTTGTCAGTGGCAAGATCATCGATGGCTGTTGAACTTGGTTTACTGAAGCAATAACGGTAGGCTAGCGGTGATTGTCAACAAGAAACAACACTGCATGCCCCATACGTGAACTTGAAACTGAGCTGGAGTTGAGATATGGAGATACGGTGAAATTATTATTTACCCCCCCTAGGAAGTAACGAGATAAGTATGGTTTGATTGTCGAACAACTTCGTATAGGAATAACTTCCTTGTATTCCGATGTACCGAAGAGGCATTGAAAGTTTGCATCAAGACTGTGATGCCAATAGAGGATCGGAAGAAAAACGCCTGCAGTCCTGTGGAGGCATTTTTTGTCAAACCTCAGAATGCTTGCTTGGTCGATGGAGTTTCGATCCAGTTGCGGAAATGGCAGCTGGAAGATTCTAATTTCTGCAATCTTTGCCTTTTTAATTGGATGTTTTATATAAGATAAGAATTTTTATGAATGTTGCTCGCCAGAAGGTATGATCTGTGTATAGTCAGGTCTCTTGTTAAAGGAAATCATGGAAGAAACAGGAGAACTATAAAGGCGAACAGTATGCTAAAGTTTTCAACTTCATATTTGTGACTGTTATTTGATTTGCTTATTGCTATCGTTAGGTTTTTTTTTATTTTACCTCACTCTAAATGACAAACAGTATCTCAAGTCTTTTGACTCAAAGGGATAGCCTGCCTAAAGCTGGACCGTTGAGATCCTGAATTTTCCTGATTATTTTGGTCAAACCTCCGATATATCTCTTACTATTGCACTTATACTGATACGCAAGGTTTCCCGTGTCTTTGAGATTGGCGTGCCCCCTTATCCAGCCAAGGTTACTGAGTACTACAAGTAAATGGCCTGGTGCTCATTTGGGTGGTTGTTTAGGAATTGTATCGATCTTCGCGATGTATCTTCGGTCCAATGAAGTGTTTAAGTTTCGAACTAGTAGCTAACGTTGAGCCCTTATTCTGCTTTAGAAACTGTATCGACAGTCACATGATAACAACAGCATACAAAACATTCTATCTTAAAGAGGAAATTTCGATCTCTCTATAGCTTCTCAAACAGAGGTATATGTTTCGACTATGTATCTGTAGCTGTATTGTAAAGTGCACCTTGACCGTATTTATATATACGATTGCTTGACTTGGATTTGAAAAGAAATCAGAGAACAGCAATTTCAACAAAAGCCATTACCGGTGGCTTATGGCCTGCTTTATTGCCTTTTGCCACCCTTTCAAGGAAAACATTTCATTTGTAAGATTTGAAGGACCTTTGTATGCAGTCGCAGTGCGGTCACTATACATTATCAGCAACCACCTTTGGACAAAGTTATTAATTCACCCTGAATAAAGTAATAAATTCCGGTGACCTTCAATGAGAGTGCTCGTAGAAAATTGGTCGAGCTACGGAAATGATTCAATTTGATCAGTTCGGATAAGTGCTTAGGAGGCTTGCAGTCGAAAATTTGGTCTTTAAACAACTATATTTAAGGAGAATTTCCTGCACGGCGTGAAAAGTGTCGACTGAAGGCTGTGAGCGGCAAAGAGGAATCGAGAGATTACTTCATGCTTCAGTTTCGATCCAACAGCAGAAACGATAGGGGAAAGAGGTCCTCTTTCTGTACCAAATTTTGGCTTCAAGAGATGAATTACCAGAGGTTTGTATCATTAGGATTTTTGCCCATACCAAACAAAAAAAATATTCTCTGATACTGAACTGAACCTTCCAAGCAACACAATGAAACAGTTGTTTTATTTTTGAATTTCTTTCATTAAGCCCATTTAATTGCAACTTCCTACAAATAATAATTTAGACAGTATTTAACATTTCAAAACCTTATCTTGACTGAACCGTTCGACGAGATCTATTTCCTTGCCATAAACTCTTGAGTCGCGGCAGAATATTGACTATTCCGATCAGTCGATGAAGAGAAGGTCTGGCGTTATAGGGCTTACAGCGACTAGATTTCTCGTTACCATGTGTCACAAGTGCGCCA